CCATGACGGGCGCAGGGCTGGTGACGTACACGTGAATGCGTTTATAGAGACAGTAGACTTAAGCAACATCGGTCGCACCTTCTCGTTCCTAACTCAACTTGGTGTGGTGTTGGGACTGGACGAGTGATCGGACGCAGCGGCTGACAAAGTCAAATAGTCCGTCTATGTATGCTACATACGCCTGGTATGGCCACCATGAACCAGTTTCAGTTAACTTGATAAGGGTAACAGGCAGAAGCCTTTGAAAACGGATCAGCAGTGGAAACTGCGCCCGAGATAATCCAGACGCCTAGCCTCCCTAGGCCTTGACGGCCTTCTTGGCTGCCGGCCTCTTCAGCAGCTTGGACTTGACAACCTTCGGCTTAGCCGCAGGCTTAGACTCCTTCGGTGTTTTGGCCTTAACTACCTTGGATTTATTGACGACCGCCCTCTTGGGAGTCTTAGGCGTTTTAGCTGCGGCTTTTGGCTTCTTCGCCTTCTTTGATTTGTCAGCAGCTTTCTTCAATTTAACGGCCTTCGCGAACTTTGGGGCCTTTTTCACCTTGGGAGCCTTGACGGCCTTTTCACCGAGTTTGGAGCTGCCACATACACCTTGCCCCTTGTTGCCGACGCGAACCAGAGAGCCATTTGCAACATGTAAAACAAGGACTCTGCGCATGTGGGGCGTCAGCTTAACCATATCCACTTTGTAGTGTTCACTGATGTGCTTCTTGAACGTTAGCAGAGAAGTACTCTTCTTGTTCTTGTGAGCGATAATGGCCGTCTTGATCATGTCGAAGACAGGCGGATGCGAGGCGGAAACCCTCGCTTACCTGGCTCTGTGGGCCTTCAGAGGGGCTGGGGCAGAAACGTTGGCAGCAGACATTACGAGCGCCCGAAACGTCGAGACCTGATTTTTATAGGAACAAAACAAGGGACAACTGGGATCCCGACTGATTGGGATTGTCGTATAGATCTCAGTAGGAAAAGTTCATTGCAGACTGACTCTCCGAAAAGGAAGGGTTACGTAGCTTGAGAAGGCGTCCACAGTCCTATTTACTGGGCTGTGCGTGTTCGGGCTATTTTGTCTCGCATCTCTGATCTGTAGCCTTCGCAGATAGTTGCAAGGATAGAGGTAGTGTTACGAGAGACATGCCAATTTGAGCATCGCGGAAGATGATGTCCACCGTAGGCTGCAGAGCACGTTGGATTCAAGGATGATGAGTTTTACATAAATCACTTTCGTGTGCGTCATCTCCCGAAGAGGAAGAAGAAGAGGGGGCAATTTCATGGACCAAAGTTTATTTTTACGGACGTTTCAAAAACTCACTCGCCTCCATCCTCAGAGTATTGTGCTTACTCTTCCGTGGGCCCTGAATGAATCCGCCTTGCCGCGAGCCGTATGTAATATCGGTGCTCACTGCTTGTGCGTTCGCCTGCCTGATGGCCGCTGGTTGGCTCCGACGTTTTGCTGCCGCCAAATGGCGCATAGATCAATTTATAATGATAGTAAACTTGCGAAGCACCTGTCGCACGCCCTCTTTTCTAATAGTTCTGAGCCTGGTGCCATGGCAGAGTCAGAAAGACCGGATTTTTGATCGGGCGTAGTGGTTAAACGGTCCGTCCACGCGTGCCAAAAACACCTTGTCTGGGTACGATGAACGATGTTTTCATGTAAATAAAACAGGGGACGCCTCGTATTCCAATTGATTGGGATTGCCATAAAGATAGAGTCCATTGCAGACTGACTCTCTGACCTGAGAGGAAGATCTTGACACCCTTCCCAGTCAGTGCTTTTAGCGCACACTGATGACTACAAAATGCGTCAGATATTTTATAATTAGGGATAA